CCCTGTCAGTAATAGAGACCAATGTTGAGCCAATGGCAAGGTACCATCTCACAAGAAGACTCAACCATTCACTTGATCATTAGTTGATTATATTGAGCTCCTTTTGCTCCAGAAATGGCAACATTTCATGCTGACTGGAATTAACATATATTCTGGAGTTAGGTTTGCTTTTCATTTTAGCAGTGACTTAAATGGCACAATAATCTGAGGATACATATCAAAGGATAACTAGCATGGGCTCCTGTATAATAAATATCACCTCAGACCTTTACAACAAACAAGGTGTGATGGTGGGCACATGAAAAAAACTCACTGCTGTTGAGTCGGTTCCAATTCATGACAACCCCTCCTTGTGTTTCCAATGCAGTATCTCTATGGAAGTAGATTGCCCAATCTTCTTTCTGAGGAGGGGTTGGTGGGTTTGGACCACCAGCCTTCTGGTTAGCAGTCAGATGCCTTAGGCATTATACCACCAGAGGTCCTAACTCACTAAACATGTCATATACTACACCATTATAATGGATTATTGGGAATTTTCCTATATGGCACAGCTGAATTGCCAGTTTGTGGATAATACTTTATTAGAATGGGGCACTGTCCTTCAGGATGCATTATACATCTCAATCCAATGACTACTATATGGTGCTGTATCCACACCAGACAGATTACTTTGGTCCAGGAACCAAGAAGCAGAAGTTGGGCCCCACTCATAATCACTCCCAGTGACCCACATCAGGAATTTGTGCTTTCTACAATCTATTCACCTTATGTGACTAGAGTTGTTGGTTCCCAAAAGGGGGTCATTTATACCATGGAACACACTCACAGGCCTATTAAACTTTAAATTTATGGTTCTCATCAGGTCACTTTGGGGTCCCAGTGCCAAGAGACAAGCAACGACAGAAAGTAGTTTCTACGCCTGCAAGGGTAAAGGCTTTGAAAAAGTATGAGCAGGCAGGGCTGATACTACAAAAACAGGACAAGAAGGAATATATTTCACAGTCAGATGATCCAGTAGACATCTTTTGTTACTTCCATACCACAATTTATCTGTAAATGGGAAACTAACAGCAACTAAGGCCAGGTAAGTATTGAAGGTTTGAGTAAAAAGCACCAGCCAAGTCATTGAGACTAGCAGAATTGCTAGGGACAAAGGAAGGAAAACACAATAAGTGACAAAGGAGAGAGATGCTGAGTATCAGTTATGGCATTGGGACCAACCGAAGCCCTGAGTACTCTAGTTTGTTCTACTAGCTCTCTTTTTGAAAAATTTCCCAGATTTTATGATGAACTAGAATCCTAGAGGAGCTGTGCTTGTAAGGAATAAAGCTATTTTGAGAAATCAGTGGTTCTTAGTCATGCAGGCAGTGAAACTTGGTGGATGTCATTAACTCCTATTGAGATTTTATTGGCTGGAGCACCCATTCTCCATCTGCTGTGAGTTTTGGTTTTAACAATGCACACCTGCCACATTCTCAGGTGATCCAAATGAGAGCCTCCCAGCCCTTGATGCTATACCACATCTTCTTCTCCATAAAAGACTGGCCTTGACCAATGACTGACAGAGAAGAATAAGCCAGCCCACTTCTTTGGATGTGGGAACAACTGTGTAGCACAATTTTTGCTCCAGAGCATCTTTGTAGGATCCTAGTTAAGCTTGTCTCCAGGTGAGATCCAAATTCCTCCTTAGCTCTTTCCCCTCTCTCCTATCCTGCTTCCTTTATTCCCCTTCTCCTGAAATAAGCCCCTGGTAAATTATTTGAAAAAGAGTACTTTTTCTGGCTCTGATTTGTGGGAACCTAAATGAAGACATCCATTACACCAGTTGCAGATCATATATCACACACTCTATCAATCTATATATAACCACTATTCTGAAAATTGTCAAACTTTTGTTTTCCATTTTAAAATTGTACCCTATATATCTGTGACACTAAACAATACAGTTGTTTTGCCTGTTTCTGATATTTATATAAATGCAATTATAGTGTATTCATTCTCCTGAAACTAGACCTTTTTTTTTTTACTCAAAATTGCATACATATTAAAGATTCATTGACATTGATGTATGTAGCTTTGTTCCATTTATTTTCACTGCTGTGTGGCATTCTCTCATATAAATATAATAAAATATCCATTCTCCTATTGATGAAAATTTGAAAAATACTCACAAATATTCTTGCATTTATCTCAGAGTACAGGTGAGGGATCACAGGGTCATAGATTATTAAAATATTTAGCTTTATTAGATAACGCTCAATTATTTGCAGAACTGATTGTTCTGATTAAACTCCCATGAGCACCACTGGAGAAGAACATGTCTCCCATGTCTTTTCCTTGGCAGCACTTGGTGTTGTATGACTTGTATTTTTAAATATTGTCTATTTGGTATGTGTGAAATTGTATCTCATAGTTTCAATTCCAGTTTACCTGATTATTTGAATAGGGTTTGGTTCTTTTTATATTTGTTAGTATTTATGCCTTTTCACCAGTGTTGTTGTTGTTGTTATATGCTGTCGAGTCGGACCTGACTCATAGCGACCCCTCCTTGAGTTTTCAAGGCAGTATCACTACGGAAGTAGATTGCCCCATCTTCCTTCTGAGGAGTGGCTGGTGGGTTTGAACCGCCAGCCTTCTGATTAGCAGTCAAGTGCCTTAGCCACTATGCTACCAGAGCTCCCTTTCACCAGTGAAATGCCTGATATTAGATTTTACCCCATTTTACGTTAAGTGATTTTTATTTTTATTACTGAGCCATAGAAATTCTCCTGGTGATTATTAATTTGTTGGAAAAATGCATATACTTCTCTTGTTGTTGTTTGCCGTCAAGTCGGACCCGACTCTTAGCGACCCTTCCTTGGGTTTCCAAGGCAGTATCACTACGGAAGTCGATTGCCCCATCTTCCTTCCGAGGAGTGGCTGGTGGGTTTGAACCACCAGCCTTCTGGTTAACAGTCAAGTACCTTAGGCACTATGCTACCAGAGCTCCTATACTTCTCCTAGCTCACCTCATATTTTTTAACTTTCTTTAAAGTGTAACACACATGCAAAAAAGTACAAAAAACTTAAGGATACAGATTAATGGATTACCATAACCAAACACCAGGTATCCATTTGAAATCCTCTGACAAGCTGCTCTGTCTCTACCAGGGAACAGTAGTTTACCAGAGCCAGTTTGCAAATGTTATATTGTACACTTCTGTGCTGAAGATTGCATTGTATTGATCCAGTAATCGAGGGATTCTATGTTGTGATTCTCCCGTTGGAAGTCACTATAAATTCCACACTGCATCTTTCCTATCACCAATAACTGCAATATCATAGAGCCCACTAAGTCATATGGCCCAAGCAGCAGGGTCACTTGTACTGCAGCAAAATGTCCTCTTGCTCAGGGCCCCACTCATACTGACTGCCTTTTGTGTAACTCAATAAATTGGTTGGAGTAGTATCTCCAAGTGTGAAATATACTACTTCCACGCCATGAAGAGGCTTAACTAACCTTATGCTTATGTCTTAGTGATGGCAGTTACAAAACCTCATTATGTATCCTTTAATTTGGAGAGGATGTCCAGCACATCACAGACACTTGGGTCCCCTAAAACTCCAGGCACCTTGCAAACCTCTGAATCATTTTAGGTCTTCAGCATATACATCATACCAAACCTTCAATATCAGTGTTGTTCATTCAATCCAATTAATTATGTCATTGGAGCCGATGTCCTATTATCAAGGGTGTACAGAAGGCCCTGTTGTTGTTTGCCATCGAGTCGGTCCCAACTCATAGCGACCCCTCCTTGGGTTTCCGAGGCAGTATCACTACGGAAGTAGGATTGCCCAACCTTCCTTCCGAGGAGTGGCTGGTGGGTTTGAACCGCCAGCCTTCTGGTGAGCAGTCAAGTGCCTTAGCCACTATGCTACCAGAGCTTGACGGCACACAACAACAACAACAACAACAGAAGGCCCAGATCCCTTTTGACTATTTTATTACAGAGAGTGAGACAATTCACATAAATTTATACTCATGTCCATTCCAACTGAATTAGAATTGCTCCTAGTGCTCCTTATTCCAGAAGGTATAAAAATGCAACAAATGAGTGGCTGAAAACCATGTTATTTAATACCGCACCCAGTACAACATAAGGTCATAAGGTCAATCTAAGGCAAACCCAATTTGCTGCCTCAGCATTCATTGATCCTTCCTAGTTTCCCTCTCACCCAGTTTTTGACATGGCCACTCCTATGTTATCACATGTTGTTGTTATTGTTGTTGTTTGCCTTCAAGTCGGACCCGACTCATAGTGACCCCTCCTTGGGTTTCCGAGGCAGTATCACTATGGAAGTAAATTGTCCCATCTTCCTTCTGAGGAGTGGCTGGTGGGTTTGAACCACCAGCCTTCTGGTTAGCAGTCAAGTGCCTTAGGCACTATGGTACCTGAGTAGCCTCTCAATAAATGTGGTCTCTAACTAGACCTTCTGGCCAGATCATATATGAGTTCCTATGATAAAGACCCCATTGCTATCCTGGAATCCAGTGTCTCAACAATGATAGTTACTCATGCCCCTCCAGGCCAGGCAAGACACCGATTGTGCTAAGATCCACCCAGCTACAGGATTGTGAGCCCTAAAAACAGAGTAGCATTCCTGCTCATACTCTTCCCATCCCCATGTACTCCCCCTGCTGTGTCTTTTGGACACCAGGTCTATCACAACCACCCAAGACACTTGTTTACAATGCAGATTCCAGGAACCCTGCTAGTTCAAGCCACTGGCCATGAGGCCCAGGCCTGCTTTAGCTACAAACTGCAGATGACAGGCTCAACGCACAAGCCAACTTACAAGGCACGTGGGAGGTGAAGGGGAAATAGAACCACTTAGAAATTTACTTTGCTGCCACCAAGAATGAACCAAAGCTAGAAAGGGCAGAAAACTTTTTATTGAAGATCATGCTGAAGCCCGAGGGAGCCATAACTTGCCTGCTCCCCTGCTGTGCTCAGGGCTTTCTACAAGCATTTTCTCTGGACCACAGATGGGCCAAACTCCTTGAATTCATCAGAGGTGACCCACATTTGCTTGAATGTGCTACGAGAGGCCATCACTGATGCACCAATCCACCCAGAGTAGCACCGCTCAGGAGAAGCTGTGATCTTGACGGAAATCCCCGTGTTAGTCAGCTGCTGTTCCAGATCTTTCAAGAGGCGTTCCCCGAGCCCAGGGAACAGAGTGGTGCCCCCAGCCAGCACAATCTCCGCAAAAAGGCTTTGCTGGATCTCAGCATCACACTTCATGATGCTGCGGGTGACCATTCTCGACAGCCCAGGGGTGTGGATAGCCAGCTGGTCAGGCTGAAAGAGGGCCTCAGGCACCTGGTACCTCTGTTCCCCCATCCAGATGACATTGCCATCTGGTAGGCTGTATTCTTTCAGGACCTCCTTCCGTGCCTTGTTTTGCTCTATCGCTAGATCAGAGGCCACATAGCACAGCTTTTCTTTAATGTCATTGATCAAGTGTCTTTTGAGTATGCTGGGGTAGATATGCCCACCAGCCAGGAGGACCCGAGCAAGGTGCTCTGTGAGGTCCTTTCCTGCCACACAGAGTGTGGTGATGGCATGAGGCAGGGGGTTACCCTCGAAGATGGGGACAGTGGAAGTGAGCCCTTCCCCACTATCCAGCACCAGGCCTGTGACACAGGCAGAGGCATAGAGTGCTGCTACCGCTTGTTTGGACAGATAGAAAGCCGGCACATTGAAGGTCTCAAACATCACCTCTGCCGTCTTCTCACGAATCTCTCTCGGGTTCAAGGGGGACTCCGTCATCAGCACGGGATGGTCACTAGATTTCACGCAGAGCTCCTTCTCGAAAAGGTACTGTAAAATCTTCTCCATGTTGTCCCACTCCAGGATCAGGCCACGCTTGATAGGATAGTCCAGGTAGAGGAGATCACACTCTTGCAGGGCTTCTTCCCCCACGAAGTACTTCCTCTGATCATCTCCTTCTGGAAAGAACTTGAATTTTGGATGCCCTACAACAGAGCTGATGATGTGATAGGGTCCTATCTGTCCAGACAAGCCTGTTTTTATGAGTCCAGATCCACTATCAAAAATCACAGCTGGAGTATCTAATGTACGTGGATTAAACATCTCCTCAGTATCTACTTGTGAGCTTCATCAAAGTAAAGACAGAACACTTGGGCCAGTTTTTGACACAGGAGCCACTCTAGAAGCTTAAAGACCACAGGATTCCCCAGTTCTCAGGTTGTACCCCAGGCAGAACTACCAGGCTATGCCCAATCTCCAAGAAAATCCTATCCTCACTCCATGAATCTGTCCTCCACAGCCCAGGGCCTGCTCTGGTCTGTTATGGTTGTCCCCTAGGTAACCATGTAACCAAGCAACAATTGTCCTCAGTGAGCATCAGAGGGATCTTAAAGGGGCAGGATCTGTCCCACCAGCACACCCTGCACACTGAGACATGAAACAGAAAAAGACAAACTATACCTACCTGCAAGGAGCTCCAGTGGCACAGTGCCTAAGGCATTTGACTGCTAACCAGAAGACAGTTCAAACCCACCACCTGCTGCTCCATGGAAGGAAGATGGGGCAATCTACTTCCAAAGATTTACCACCTTAAAAACCCTTTGGGGTCACTATGATTCAGAATTGACTCAATGGCTGTGGGTATACCTACCTATGGGTGGCTTTCATGAACCTGTGAACCCAAAGCAGAGGCCTAGCCTTAGAACGAAAAGCAGCAGTTCAGCTGTGGGCTGATCCAAGAGACCTTGGCTTCTCTGCTCAGTCAAGCTGTTATTTGTGGGATAACAAAAATACACTTCCCTTTGCTAAGGGGAGGCTGTAAGTACCAGACTCACAGCCAGGTCAGAGTGGCAATGCTGGAAACCCAGTTCCAGCAGACACCAGATTTATTTCTTATTTCCCTGTATTTGTTATTGTCATTGTTGTTGAACAACTACATGGAGATACAATTCACATGCCATACGATTCACCCTCTTAAACTGTATAGTTATTGAATTAGTTCTTTAGTATAGTCACAGGTATGCAGAATCACCAAAGTCAATTTTAGTTTTCATCAGCTCAGAAAGAATACCCTCCCCCATCCTGCAGTTATCACTCCCATGTGACCCCATTACCTCAGTCCAAAGGAACCACTAATTTACTTTCTGACTCTACAGGTTTAACTTTTCAGGATATTTCTTATAAATGAATCTTACAATATGTGGCCTGTTGTGTCTAACTTACACCAAGGAACCCTGGTAGTGTAGTGATCAAAACACTGGGCTGCTAACCAGAAGGTCAGCTGTTCCAACTCCCCAGCCGCTCCATAGGAGAAAACATGAGGCATTCTGCTTCTGTAAAGATTTCAGCCTTGGAAACCCTATGGGGCAATTCCACTCTGCCCTACTGGGTCGTTATGAGTTGGAATCGACTAGAAGGCAGTGAATTTGGGTTTTGGTGTCTGACTTTGCTCACTTAACATATTGTTTTCAAGACTCAGCTGTGTTTTAGCCTGTACCAGTGCTTCCTAGTCTTAATGAATGTGACAGTGATTTTTAGCATGATTCTATTTGACTATCTTTTTATCTAGCTACACCGACCTGTTAAGTTACACTAATTGCTTGCTGATTACTCTATTGATTTTACCCACTGGGGTATAAAATGTCCCATAGACTAACTCAATTTGGGCTCCTTTGAAGATATTGTTCTAAAGGTCAGAGTTTGAGATTTGTTGTGATCCCGTGAGGTCTTTTCCCAGATTATTAAAAATAATTTTCACTGGGAAGTAAATGCCCAGAGCCACCTATGATGTTGTACTGGAAGTCTGTGCACACAATTCAATTTTGTGAGGGGATCAGCTGGTTCCACCAGACCTTCAATCCTTTGATTGGTAATCTATTTTTCCATTTTTTGTCTTTTCGTGTTCTGTAATTTTACTGTGATGTGTGTGTGTGTATAGATATATAATTTGTCATATAAGTTTATTTTACCTGCTTTAACCCAGGACAGCATCTATTGAAGTAGAGAAAGGTTATTTTCCATGACTGATATTAGACTTTCTAATACTTCCATTGCAATTTTCAGTTTCATTAGAATACTCCAAGTGAAATGAGACTTATATTGGGAAATGCAGCAGGAATAGTCCCAGGAGAACAGGCAGATGCTGATGTATGATTCAGCTTTGGATCTATTTTTTACATTTCCATAGCTAGGATATGATTGAGAAGGCCATCTGGGTACTCCATGCTTCCATACTTCTTTCAGTGATGAGAGAAAACCTTAAAGAAGTGAGATTATGTTTCATTTGATACTACTATAGCCTAAATGTTCCATGCATAAAATTGTAGTATATTTAGAACTTTCACTGTCCACTATTATTATCCTCTCAGGAAATCCTAATATGATAATCATCTATTGAAGATAAGCTTCCTTAGTCAAGTTACATAATGGCCTGGCCTACTTTATCTACGTAAGAGAAGGTGGTTCATATTTACACCACCATCAACAAAGAAGAGTGGCTGCTGAGGCTACTTATGTACAACTAACAGCCTCATGGGATCTGGTTCCTTTATTTGGTGGTTTAAGATCATGGTTTCATGGGACATCCCAGTTAATTGGCCTAATACATGCTTAGTGTTTCTGTTCTACCTCCTAGTTCGTTGCATACTGCCCAGTGTTTCAAGCTTGCAAGTGGCCATCCAAGTCACAACAATTTGTCTCTATTTGCCTGGAACAACAAAGGAAGGAGGAGAATCAGAAATAGAGTAGGATATGCAATGTGTAGCTAATTGCCTCCATGAACAACTGCCTCTTTTCCATGAGACTACAAGAATTGGATGATGCCTGGCTACCATTAAGGAACATTTTGATAAAAGGTTCTATAGAATATTCCTGATCAAAAAAGGGAAAATGCAGAACACAATTTCAAGTTCTCATGACTTGACTGGAGACTTCCTGGAGCCATAAAGGATGGATAAACTCCTGAATCTACTGTCCTGGGATAATCTTTAAACATTACACACACACACACACACACACACAAATCCCTGAAGTCTTTTTAAAACCAAACAATAGTTTAGCTTCACTAGTAAAAAATGTCTGCCTTGATCATTATATTCTTTTAAGAACTATCTGTATGGGATCAAAGTGACAACAGCAACTCTAAAGATTAAATAGGAACTTTAGAGGGCAGTGAGTTTCGTTAATGGGGGAGAAACAACTCAGAAAAGAAGCATGAGAATGGTTGCACAACTCGAAGAATGTAATCAATGTCACTAAATGGTACATGTAGAAACTATTGAATTGGTGTATGTTTTGCTGTGTATATTCTCAACAACAAAACCAAACCCAAACCAAACTCACTGTCGTGGAGACAGATCTGACTCATAGAGACCCCTCCGTGGGTTTCCAAGGCAGTATCATTATGGAAGTAGATATTGCCCAACCTTCCTTCTGAGGAGTGGCTGGTGGATTTGAACCACTGGCCTTCTGATTAGTAGTCAAATGCCTTAGGCACTATGCTTCCAGTCTCAACAACAAAAGCAATAAATATTTTAAAAAACAGAAGATGGCTCAGAGGAGTGCGTTTTGTAAGACACTCATGTCTCCAACATATTATAACTTTTCACAATATACCTTTGTTGTTGTTGTTAGGTGCCGTCGAGTTGTCTCTGACTCAAAGCCACCCTGTGTACAACAGAATGAAACACTTCCTGGTTATGCACCATCCTCACAATCTTTGCAATGCTTAAGTCCATCATTGCAGGCACTGTGTCAATCCATCTCCTGAGGGTCTTTCCTTTTTTCACTGACCCTCTACTTTACAAAACATGATATCTTTCTGCAGGGACTGGTCCCTTCTGACCACATGACGAGACAAAGTCTGGCTATTCATGCTTCTAAGGAGCATCCCGGCTGTACATCCTCCAAAACAGATGTGTTCATTCTTCTGGCACTCCATGGTATTTTCAGTATTCTTTCCCAACACCACAATTCAAATGCATCAATTCCTCTGTAGTCTTACTAATTCTAGACCCTTACTATACCCTTACTAATTCTCATTCTTCAAAACATCAGAATTTGCTTCTTTTCACAACTTAGTTCATTTACACATGTATATCATGGATTGCCAGAAGAACAAATAAATCTGTCTTGGAAGAAGTATAGCCAGAATGCTCCTTAGAAGTTAGGCTGGCAAGATTTCGTCTCATAAACTTTGGATATGTGACCAGGGGGGCGTAGTCCCTTGAGAAGGGCATCATGCTTGGCAAAAAGTAAAGGGTCAGTGAAAACAGGAAGACTCTCAACAAGATGGGTTGACACAGTGGCTATAACCAGGGCTCAGACATAACAACAATTGTGAGGAGGGTACAGGACCAGCCAGTATTTTGTTCTATTGTACACAGGGTCACTATGAGTCATAGCTGGCTCCATGGCACCTAATAACAACTAACAACAGCACATGCCATGCTCCAGACCAACACAATAACAATGAATCAATTTTGGCATACATTTTGTGGGGTATTTATATTCCCTCATATTAATATTGATCTCAAAGGCCAAAATATGGATCTGAACACACTGCCTCTTGAATGCATATAAATATACAGTTAGCAGATGTCAGAGATAAAAGTACAGCAAAAATTTCTGAAAATTCACTCCTCTATAAAAGCAAAGGCAAAACTGGACTGAATCATTCATTAAGAATTCTGAAAATTTACCAAAGTCTTGCAGCAACATGGGGATCCTAATTCAAGAAATATGTCTGAATTTTGATAATAACTGCAAGTTTTGAGGAGCTTTAACTTGTCCTATTCCTATTTTCCCTTCCCCGCTCCACAATATCTTTGAAAAGCAACAGTCTTCAATTGCAGTGAAACTAGAAGCCTTGCTTACAGTAGGTGGAGAGAAAACTGTTATTATTAAATTTGTTTTACATTCAACAGTTCATGCACATTGGCTTCACTCCCCAATTACCATCCTCAACTATAACCCACTCTCCTCCTCTCCCTTCCCAGTGACTCTTGCATTCCTGCACCCTTCTTAGTTATGCATGCCTGTCTGTCCAGCTTTCCCTCCATGTGAATGCTGCCCCTCTGGTGCCCCATGACCGATTGCTCCAAGGG